TATTAGAGATCAAGAAGGATTGTCCCAAGAAGGCTGGTATCAATATTAATGATGAGAACAGTTAAGGGCAGTATTTCTCATTTTGGGCAGTTTGAAGAGGGGTGGACTTCACCCCCCAGATTTCCCGACCCAGCCATACTGGCTAGGGAATTCTGGGAGTTGAAGTCCACCCATCTTCAAGCTGCCAAGATTGAGAAACATTAGTTTAAGGAGACAGATCTTCTAGATCAGAAAAATCTCCTTCAACAGTGGTAAGCAGATGCCTTAGGATCCCTACAGGTAGGATATGCCTTTTAGTAATCGTGGAGAGACAGAGAAAAGGCTTTGCTTGTACAAAATCTTTTTGGTCTTTTTATATGGTGTGACTTTTTACTAAATTAATGTGGATATTTATACTTTTAACTGTTTTGGGGTTTTATTTTAATTGTGAGCTGCCCAGAGTCACCCTCTGGGGGAGATGGGCAGCATATAAATTCAATAAATAAATAAATAAAGTTCCAGCTTCAATCATAAGATCACTGGACCTGGGCTGCAAAATCCAGATGACCAGTAGGAGGCAGGAAAGAGACCCTGAACTCCTCACTTTCTGCTGCCATCTCATGGTTGTCTGCATTTCTGCAGCTCAGCTATGGTAGCCCTAAACAAACCATATTTCATAGAATGTCATAGAACACAATTTACAAACCATAAGGGCTGGGTTTATGCAACATTTAACAGAAAATCAGGTGCTTATAATAAAGCTTGGCATGATCAAGTGGGTTTTTTTAAAGAAACTACAAGCTATGGGGTAGTTGCCTGTAAACTTCCCCCAGCTTCTTGCAGTAACACAGAAGGTTGGCCATCTGTAGCTTTGGACTTTACGGTATTATCACCTCTCAACAGACTTTTGGAAATCTGGACAAATGAAAAGTTGGTAACTTGGGACTTCATCTAATGTTTCAAGGCTGGAGATCAACACCTGTCCCTATATGAATAAAGACTTCATTCAGTGCCGGTCTTCCACCATTACCGTAGGAATCCTAACCAAGGCATCAGTGACACAGCCAGGACACATCAGATGAGGATTTTAAAATAAAACCTTCACACGTGACCCAACGTGTTCAGCTGATCTGCAGACCTGTGTGTGGAGATTCACTTTTGCTTACAAACAAAATTACAGATTTAGTGCAGCTGTTCATCCTTGAAATAAACCTAAGCTCCTTTATCCTACAGTTTAGCTCTTTCCCTGCCACTGTAGGAACATTAATCAGAAATAGAGTGTGTTTAAGCATCTTGGAAATACATGCGGGTCAATGAGACATATACACCATCTATCACTCATATATGGAAGCTATCATCTGGCAGGGATCCAAGTTAATAATGGTCATACTTAATATTTATATAGCGTACAACTTCATCATGAAGAACTGCCTACTAGTAGTGTATGCATTTACAGTGAATCTCCCTTTCCTTTCTCAATTCCCAGGACATTCTAATTTATTCTACTTATATTACTTATTAGAAATCCAAGATGGATAACAAAAACAATCAAGTAGGATAGAGTAGGCACGCTCCAGGTCCCTTCCCTTAAATGTTGCCATCTTGTGGGATCCCGGAAGCGCACCTTTTCCGGGGCAGCCCCTGCCCTGGGGAAGACCCTTCCCCCTACCCAGGGATCCAGCTGGCCTCCCATCCTTTCACCTCTCAGAAAGACCTGAAGAGCCAGTTCTTCCCCCAGGCATTGGGATAGGGCGAAGCCGGAGTTGGAAGATAGTGCTGCTGGTTGCATCAAAGGAGGTTGGTTATGGTGCCAGGTTTCTTAGTTGCTTCTGCTTTTCATTGTCTTCTGCTTTTGTCTTTTGCATGATGTTTTTTATGTAACTGTTGTGAGCTGCCCATAGTTGTGTTTCTAAGATGGGCAGCCACACGTCTTTGTAAACAAATACAAGATTTTGTGTCCTTAAAGTTTGCCCCGTTTTGCAAACTCTGCTCTGCCATGAGATTTAGCAGCTAATGGTTACGCAATGTTTCACGATGGTAGTCCTTTCTTTTGGTCTATGGCTGTAAGGAAGTCTCACTGATCTATCTAGTGGCTGTTTTTCAGGACCATTGGACCTAACTGCAGGATGCACTGTAATCTGGATAAAGGAGATACATCCTTTCCTTTATTCTAACTAACCATCCTATGGACTTCTGCTGTTGTTTAGGTAGACTGCTCCTTTTCTTTCCTCTCTAGCTCTGTCCTTCCATCCAGGGGAGTCTGCAGAATGTGGTCAAAAAAGTAAAAATGTCAGCTGCAATGGTGCAATTCACATAAAAAGCTGATGGAGCTTTGATCATGACATCACAACTTTTTTTCTTTTGCTATATCCTGTTTTTTCTTCAGATACGTCTTATACGTCTTTCGCCTTTACCATATCCTGCAGACACCCTTGCTTCCATCTCTCTATTTATCTATCCATCTCCCTTCCTAGTATGATTTAAAAGAAGCACCAGCAAATTCTGTGCCTGGGAAAAAAATGCGATGAATGGTTAATTGACCTCTGCTTCAGTAATACCAATTGCTAAGTCATTCATGAAGAATAAGGGTTCAATGATTTCGCAGTCTTAAATTAATCTTTCATGACAAAACCTTGTGGCCTGGTCATTGCAAGCATCTGCCAATCTCCACGGGGATGAAAAGGAACAGCAAGAAGGGTCTGGAATGGTTTCGGGATGGTGTCATACTTTACAGCCTAATTCACAACAAAGCCCTGCCAAAATATTTGCACTAATGACTGTTCAGGGCAAAAGTAGCATTTTAGGTTTAGCACTGATGGTGGGTTCAGTATATCTTTGCTGCACAGCAAATACATGAAAATTCTCCATTTGGAGCAAGAAAAATAACCTTTGGCAAACAACTAAGGCAGTGTCTGTTGCGGTAAGCACATTCTTCTTCCTCTCTTTCTGAGATGCTGTATGAAAGAAGCTGCAGATGCCTCTTCATACGCGAGTGAAAAAACTGCTGTGAAGAACGTTTCATTGGTCTCCAATTCCCTTGGCAATGTTGGGGCCTTCACAAAACTTTGCAGGGACTTGTATTGCATGGGGTGATTTTTTTTAGCCTCCCAGGATCATTTGGAATGAGATCTCTGGAATGACAGCAGATGGCTCTTTATTGTCAGGAATTTGCAAATTTATGATGGGGCAGATAAGCTGCCATTCATTGACCGAGAATCTGGAGGGGGCAAAGTCGTGGGGAAAAGTCCTACTCCCATGATCCTGGAGCGCCAGTTAGAGTAAACGGTCTGTGTTGGCAGACAAACAGTTCTCTTGTTGGGCTTTCTTCTGTAATTCCATAGGAAATGGTTTTCTATCATGTCTAGAAGTTTACTTATTTATTATTCAAATTTATACAGCTGCCCATCTCATGTCTATGATGCTGGGTGGCTTACAAACAATTAAAACAAATATAAAAATGACACCCCCCCAACAATGTAAAAACAAGAAAAAAATATAAAAGCATATAAAAAACCATCATAAAATGCATGTTATGTGAAGGAATTGCAAATGGGCAGGGCAAGAGATCAAGATCCATGCTTCTCCAAAAAGCGATCAAATTTCAACTTCCAAACTTGCTAAGATAGATGTCATTTGATTTTCCATGGAAGAATGTACCCCAATATTAAGATAAATTTAATCCCAAGATTAAGATAAATTTAATCCCTTCCACGAGTGCTGGACCCCTGTGATTTCGCAGAAACCCCAACGCATACAACTATTGCACAACCCTTTCTTTTTTTAATCTGTTCAACTGTGTCTGATTCTTGCAGACTGCCTGGACAAGTCCCTGCAGTTTTCTTGGCAAGGTTTTTCAGAAGTGGTTTGCCATTGCCTCCTTCTTCCTAGGGCTGAGAGGGAGGGACTGGCCCAAGGTCACCCAGATGGCTTCGTGCCCAAGGCAGGACTAGAACTCACAATCTCCTGGTTTCTAGCCTGGTGCCTTCACCACAACACCAAACTGGCTCTTGTACCATGCTTGGATTGGCCTTAAAAAGATATTGCCTCAATATTAATTTTTTCTTTTTTTCCCTGATGGTCAAGGAACTTCTTTTGCCCTTTTTAATAAAAATGTGGAAGAGGGAAATGTCTTGACCCTACTTCCCACTGTCTGCCTTCCTCGTGTCTCAATTTTCTTTGACCACGGGGAACAGGACTTGCCAGTCTGTTAAAACAGGCAGGAGGTCCAGAAATCGATGAGAGTAAAAAACCAACCAACCAACCCCAAAACAAAACTCCTGCGGGTTGCCTTAAATCCTGATGACTTCCTAGACTCTCCTTGTGAGAGTCGCCAAGGTACCCTTCGGGGTCATCTAGTCCAACCCACTGCACAGTGCAGGAATGGTCCCTGGCAGACCACCCAGCCCCCGTTTGAACCTCTCCAGCAAAGACAAGTCTACCCCTGCTCTAAGCAGACCGTTCCGTGGTTTAACAGAGCTTAGCCCTCCTTCTGTGCGGCCTGAATCCACCCGCTGGGCTCGTCCTACGTCGCGCACCAACGCGACCCTCCTAATGAAGGGTCCCGGTTAGGATTTCCCACGCGTTCGTCCATCGAAGCGCCCGCCCCGCCCTGACTGGCCTTCGCCACCACCTACCGGAAAATTGCCGTAGAGGGGCGAGAGGCTTCAGCATCCTGAAGCCGGAGCTCTGAGGCGCCCAGGTGGGTCCAGCGCCGCTCGGAGCTGGAGCCGCGCCCGGCCAGGCGCTGCGGGGCGCTCTGCGCGGCCAGGACGCTGGCGCTGCGAGCCGTCTGGGCAGGCGCGATCCCCGCCGAGAGGCGCTGCGCTGCGCTGCCGCCAACCAGCGTCGGGCTTTGGGTCCGCGCTCGCGTTGCCTGCGCGCCTGAGCGGCTCCGGGGGCGCTTGCCCCCGTCCTTACCGCTGCCTCCCTTGGCTGATGCCCGGCCGGCCCCCTCCGCCCCCGCCCTGGCTCCGTCGGCGTGCGCCTGCGGGTGCGTCCGCGCTCCCGAGC